TTTCAAATCGATCGGTCAAATAGTTTAAAAGTTATTAAATTTGTTTTTCCCAAGTTAAATTTTTTTGCAACAATATAAGTCAGAAAATTGTATAGTTATAGTAGATAATTAACTCTATTAATATTATTAAAAAAAAGAATAATAATTTTAAATATTGCAAAATAATTTTGCAAAAATACGTCATTTTTTTGCTTATAAACAATTGGAATATATTTTTAACCATTGCCTGTAAGAAAATGATTTTTCATATTTAGAAAACTTGCATTCTTTTTTACAAATTTAAAAGAAAAATAGTCGACTTTTGGGACGAAGTTAGTTCCTTTTTCCGTAAGCGTAAAACTTATCCAAGGCAATTCTATAGCTATTTGTAAGTGTCTGTGGAAGTACTTCTACAAAACATGTACATTATTTATATATTTATGACCATGATAAAATATTATGATTATTGCTATAGACTCACAGTACGAGCAAATAAAATGGAAAAATTGTTGAAGAACTGTAAAGAGCTCCAATGAACAACTACTATATTTAATAAATTCAATACACAAAAGAAATAATCCTTTATTTTCAGTATTCCAGTTCAGTGTTTTGGAATATTAAAAAAGTTCTTATGAAGGTAATTACATCAACAAATTGATGTACAAGACGGTAATAAAAAAAATCGTCGTGTCTTTCATTATATTCACACTTCATTTTACTTCTCTCATCGATCAGTCATATTCCATTTTCTATTGCTCACCATTTCTTATACTCTTCAACTGCGCCAATTTTTTTATTTTTTTCGTATACTACTTTTATACTCTTTCGATAGTCATTATAACAATTGTGTTTGATTTTTTTTTAATTTGACTTTTCGTTTGTATTTGGAACATCCCTCTTTGTATTTGATTATCTAGGTTTTCCTGTTTAGTTTCAGGTCTGATCAAAATCAATGTAGTTAAATATTGTTATTACTGCTTAAATAGTATCATTAATAAGATATTATTGATGTTCAGTATCAGTTATTCAACACCAACATTGAATGTAAATTCAGGGAAAATGTGTAAACTAATTAATTTGTCAAAAGAGGATTATTTGCTTTGTGAGTGGATTTTTATAAATTCAAACAAAATATTATACTAGATTTCTTATGTAATTTTTAATTAATTCTAATAACTTGGAATGAGAGGCCTTGTATACTTAGTGTGTACTATTAGTATATAAATAAAGCATATCAATATAGTTTGAATATATTATTTCAATTACCTGAGCAGTTAATTTAATAATAGTAACTTTTATGTGCAAAACTAAAACAAATTTGATTTCATACGAAATTTTATGAGGTAGCTATACGTAAGTGTTGTAAAAACCAGCTAAACAACAAGTTTCTACTAAGTTTTAAAGCAACATAGATATCAGGCAGTTTCCACGATTTTATGAATTTGGAAAATGTTTCAATAAATATGAGAAAGCTTTCCTCTACGACAGAATTTTAATAGAATTCTTAAGAGATAACACTACTAAACCTAAGTCAATGTCAATTAAATTGTCCAATGTTAATTATACACACACTGAGAGAGAGGCTCTAAAGTATCTTTTAAGTGTTCACTTCTCAGGATTAGAAATTTATCTCAAAGGATCTTTGTCACTGGACGGATTTATCCTGTGTTAATTACGTGGTAAACCTATTGTTTATTGTTTTTTTTTTTTATTATTTGTAGAAACAAATTACAATAAATAAAGGATGTATAAAAAAACATTGAACTGGGTCGGAAGACCCAGTCTTATCAAAGCTCAACCAAAAATCAAAATCCATTATGGATTGTATATCCGTACTTTATCACCTCTTTCAATAGTTGTACCAGTAGCTTTCATGTCGAGCCTGGCCTTGGCTTTTATCACTTTAAAGCTTCAAACTTTTACGAGCAAATTCGTAGACTTTTTCCAAAATGTTTCTTTCAAATTTTCAATGTAGGTCAGGGATGAACGTTCTTCTTCACAGAGATCTTCCGAAAATAAGATCTCGAGGAAACTTCATTTCCCTTCCGATGATCATCATTAATGGAGAATAACCAGTTGCTTTATGTTCGGAACTTATATAGGCTAACAGGAATAGAGGAATTAAAAGTACCCCAATCTTTTTGATTATCAGCGACAAAGATTAAAAGGTGTTGACAAACCTCTCTATTATGTCTTTCGGCCATTCCATCTGATTGAGGATGATGAGGCGTAGTGCGAGTTTACTTAACCCAAGATTTTCATTAATTCTTGCCATAACTCAACGTGTGTTATGAATGCTTCTGCTACTATAGTCGCTTCTTGAAGAAGGGATGCAATTTCAGGCAATTTTGAAAAATAATCCATTGCGACCATTATAAGTACTTGTTTCCTCTCTTTTATCGGAAATAAATCGATAATATCCACTGCAAGTAGTTCAAAAGACTCTCCGGAAGATATGCCATTTTAGAACCACTTGTTTGTCTGTTACAATAAACTAGTTGTTTGTACTATTTCTTTATTTAAAAGTCATTTTATTTTTATAATAAGTGTGTAAAATATATGTATATTACTGATGTATACTACAAGGTTGCTGCACGCATCTTGCTCACGCGAAATATTACGTCGGGCCTGTACAAAACTACAAAAACATACAGGTATATCGAGTAATAAGAAGTATTCACAGCAAAAAATTGAAATGAATAAAACAATTTAGAATTAACCCTGGCCATATTCATTACATTGATTACTGTCATATAAATAAGAACAAACTTTTAATAATGAATATCTAGATTAACATGATCACATGATTATATATTTTCTGGCGAGCAACGCTAAGTTGGATTTATAGTTTTACGGACTGTAGACGTATTATGTCAATTCATAAATCGACGGAGTTGAACAATGGAGTGAAATTTTTGCGCATGAGTAGAAACAGTGGCTAGAGCTGGTGACCATGTGACCAAAGAATATAGAAGCGTCTATATTCTTTGATGTGACATTAATCGACATTCAACGTAACCTATAAATTATACGAATCATAAACTGGATGTTTTATTTATACTATTGTTTATTATAATATTTATCCGTTTTGCGTGGATTAAGAGGAGCTCCGGAACCAGAAGGCGACGCTTTCTTTTCCCTGCCATATTTATTTCTCAAACCTATCCAAATTCTCTGGAAATCTTTCACTGAAAAAGTATAATACAAAAAACACAAGTAGTGCAAAACTGCACATTTGAAATAATTTAATCTATTCTTCAACTAAAAGTACCAATAAAATAGTGCATATTATGTCTGTAGTGGCCGTAAATAAATTAAACCGGGTATATGGTTATCTGGTGTGCATTTGTCTATGCACACGAGATAAAATGTCACTGAGCAGCACTGGTTCCGTTTAAAACATGGTTGATTCCGTCTGCCCGAACTTAGTTTTTTAAGCAGAGTAGGTATTCTAATTGTTTATTGTTCTGTGGTTTAAGGGCGAAAGCCCTTAAATTAGCGATAGCCAATTCCGATAGGGGGCGCTGAAGATTTCAAAGCTGGATGATAACTTCGGGAAAACAAATAATTTTGTCATTTGATCTTTAAGCTATAAAACGTTTAATATAAATCATTTACACGTGTGTTTTGCCAAAGTAAAAGTTGGAGTAGGTACATTCTTCAAAGTTTATTTGTTGGTGATTCGAGTTTATACATAAGATAATTGACTCTCAAACCTGAATAAAAATAAAATTAAATGTTTGTTTTTCTACAGTATGTCTGTAACACGTGAAGTAAAATTTACATTATCTTAATTATTTATATGGTTGCAAGATCGGCAGAGATCTTTAGTTGAGGGTGAGGCAGTTTTTGGAGCTGGCCACGTTATATTTTGTAAATTACGCCTTACTTTTCTACTAATAACTTCATAAGACCGTTGGGACAATTTAGCTGATGGAACAGCATTTTTCCTGAGTCTTCTCAATTTAGTTTCAGGGGTTACTATAAAGTAAATTAAGTATAAATATATTAAAATATAAATAATATTTTAATCAACACCGGGAAAGTAATCGTTCTCAGTAAAATCTAAACTGCCACAGTCATGTACTTGGTTATAGGTTTGCCAATTCGCAAAATGCATTGCCAAACGTTTCTCATATTTTCGTCCAGCGGAAACTTATGTATGGAATTTTTTTGTGAATTATAATAGGATAAACAATGAGGAACACTGCAATAGTTTTTTGAAGTCGAAGTCATTGTTAATTGCAATATAAACCGGTTGCTAATAGATATGTATACAAATTAATGACAATTTCAAAGTTTCCCCCACGTGGATGCTTTTGAAATCTACCACCAGGCGTCGCCCACTTTGCGGTTCCTCACGAATAGCCCTGGATTGTGTTTCGCCAGGGGGCGGCAAATTTACGCTAAATAGTGGTTATCGGGAACGGGCTAGATTTTATTTATCTTTTGACTCATATAGCTAAGACAGGACAATGTCTGTCGGGCCAGCTAGATTAACAATAAAATTTGCTTTTTGAAAAAATTTAAATTCTTCAAACGTCTTACCTGGAGTTCTATGTTGAAGAAACATTGCAGATTTAAAAAAGATAATTTTTCATAACAATAATATAATCTAATAAATCCTAAAATATATTTTTGAAGGCAACAAAGAATCTATGCTAAGTATTTTTAATAATGCATTTTCCAAACTTAATAAAAATTGATAACGATTGGAGAATCCTTGGAAATTCAAATTTTTGTAATGGATATAAAGAAAATCTATTAACTACATAATCTTTTAATTTGTCTAAATTAGGTATTAAATGATAAAACATTTGTTTGAATTATACATATTTTTTCTTTTAATTGCTGCTTTTCCAGAAAAATTGCTCTTTATATTTTCTTTTGTTATATATAATCTTAACTAGTTACTCAGGCCGGGGCAAACGGGTCCGTGTCCAGGGTGGTAGAAATGTTTATAATAGAATAAGTTACTTAAATTTTTCAAAATAGTAATAACAAGAAATATTATTTAATTTCATTTGATTTTGTTGCACAATTTATCAGCTTTATTACAATAACGCTATACACCAAATATTACCTCCATTCAAAACACTGTTCAAACTTCTATGATTTTTCTCCAGTATGTGATCTTATATGTAGTTTCAGAGCACTAGCTTGAAACTGTCTCACACTTGTACATTTTTTCACCAGTGTGCAATCTTCTCAAATGTTGTTTCAAAGAACCTACTTGGCTATACTGTTTAAAACAAAATTTACACTTGTAAGGTTTTTCCCCAGTATGCACTCTCAAATGTGTTTTCAATGAACCTGCTTGGCTAAACAGTTTAAAACAAATTTCACACTTGTAAGGTTTTACCCCTGTGTGCACACTCAAATGTGTCTTCAATGAACCTACTTGGCTAAACAGTTTAAAACAAATTTCACACTTGTAAGGTGTTTCTCCAGTGTGCAGCCTCAAATGATTTTTTAAAGTACTTAATCCTTTTAACTGCTTTAAACAAATTTCACACTTGTAAGGTTTTTCCCCAGTATGCACTCTCAAATGTGTTTTCAATAAACCTGCTTGGCTAAACAGTTTAAAACAAATTTCACACTTGTAAGGTTTTACCCCTGTGTGCACGCTCAAATGTGTCTTCAATGAACCTACTTGGCTAAACAGTTTAAAACAAATTTTACACTTGTAAGGTTTTTCCCCAGTATGCACTGTCAAATGTGTTTTCAACGAACCTGCTTGGCTAAACTGTTTACAACAAATTTCACATGTGTAAGGTTTTTCCCCAGTGTGCACGCTCAAATGTGTTTTCAATGAAGTTGCTTGGTTAAACTGTTTAAAACAAATTTCACACTTATAAGGTGTTTCTCCAGTATGCACTCTCAAATGATTTTTCAAAGAACCTACTCCTCTTAACTGTTTAAAACAAATTTCACACTTGTAAGGATTTTCTCCTGTGTGCACCCTTAAATGATTCTTGAACCTGTAAATTCGAGAAAACTGCTTAAAACACAACTCACACTTGTAAGTTTTTTTCCCAGTGTGCACTTTCAAATGTGTTTTTAACGAACCTGCTTGGCTAAACTGTTTAAAACAAATTTTACACTTGTAAGGTTTTTCCCCAGTGTGCACACTTAAATGTGTTTTCAATGAACCTGCTTGGGTAAACTGTTTAAAACAAATTTCACACTTGTAAGGTTTTTCTCCAGTGTGTGTTCTTATATGTTGTTTTAAAACCTGTGCGACACCAAACTGTTTAAAGCAAATTTCACATGTGTAAGGTTTATCTCCACTGTTCATTCTTAAATGATTTCCCAATTTACTTTTCTGGGAAAACTGCTTCAAACTTTGTTCACACTTGTAAGGTTTTTCTCCAGACGTAACTTTTATATTTTGATTTAATGTTTTTCCTTCAGCCTGTGGACTTATATAATTTGCTTCGTAAGATGAATGTTCAATTAGTGTCTCCACAAATTCCATTTTGTTTTCCTCTTCTAGATAACCTAAAATACAAACTGACTATAACATAAATATATGGGCAAAGAATTCTATATTCTTTGATATGGGTATAAGGGAAAATGAATGTAAAAAGAAAATGAGTTTTGTTGGTGATCTTTCGTTGAATATCAGATTGATTATCTCACCTTTGTTAACAAAATATCATATAACTAACTATGTAAATAATTTGTAATTGTCTCTTATATGTCCTTAAATTAAACACATTAATAAATTGTTACTAACCTTTTTCAGTTTTTTGGTTTTCTTCAAATGGGTTAAGCTTATTTTCATGTTGTATTTCAGTATTTATAGGATGTTCCTTTAAGTCTAAATAATCATATGTGTCATAAGTAGTATTTTGCCTATTAGAATCTTCCTGAATTTCACATTTAAATCCATCCAAAAGAGCATCATCTAAGTCATTAGACTCTTCTATTTCTATTTTACATGTTTCCTCGCTATTTCCTTGTTTTACTTCCATTTGATTTCACTTTAGAACTTATGTATTTCAATAAGCTAATTATATAGCAAGAGGATACGCCTTAAAAATGCCTATTTTTTTGTGGATTGGGCCGAAAAAGTAAAAGAAAGTTTAAATTATAATGTTTTCTTTGCTGAAAACAGTGAAAACTACTAAAAGTGACCAAAAATGAAGAAATACAAAAAAAATCAAAAAAGGAATAGAATAACCTAAAAAATTAGGTGACATAATTAAAAAATAATAAATATCGGCGCCAGTGTTGCCGATGTCACGATATGAAATTATGTTAGACCACTGCTAAAATTATCAGATTTTACCAAAAATTATGTTAAAATTTTTGCAAAATTATGTTAAAATTTTTACAAAATTATGTTAAAAATTTTTATCTTGGTAGTTTCTAAAGGTAATAAAAACACAAGGTAACAGAAAAAAATCATTTTATTCAACTTAACTTGTTATTAAAAAAAACATGAACAGAATATATGTAATAACAAATACTATAATAAAACTAATTAACATCTGAAACGCTTTCAAATAAAATTTCCTTATCCTCATCTTGTGAAGATGAAGAGTTTGTGTGATTAAAATAATTTAACATTTTTTTGTCTGTTTGAAAGGAGTAACATTCTTTTACTCCTTCACTTGCTAACACTAATCCATTTACTGTTTGGGTACATAATTTGGGAACTAATATCTGTAGATTCGTCTATTAACACACTAAATTTCTGTTTCTTCAAAATGCTCACGATTTTTTGAAACTGATTTTCTTCCAAAACGTCAGTACCTAATGGTAGTTGTCGTTTTGGTTCTTCTTATTGACACTTTTTTCAAAATTTGTTAATCTGGAAAAGTGGATTGTAGAAGTGGAACTAGATGCTCACATCTCACATAATCTTATTGGAAGGTTATGCTCTGCAATTAATGCTGCCAATTTAATTTCCGCACTATGAACTTGCTCTATTCTTCATCGTTGTTTCGCTTATACATTTCGGACAGCTTTTTGGTCTTTTTTTTAAATACAGACCTTATTTTTATGTTTTTCGCCTTTCGAGTAATTTTTTATTACAGTAAGATCTGCATTAAATTCTGCATCACAAAAAGTATCAAATGTAATACGTTAACTAAATTGTACAACTAAAATCCAGTAACAGAATTGCAATGGTTTATTTATGATTTATTGCAACCTAATTTAAGATTTGGGAAATCCCTGCGCGATTTAGGGATTCTCCAAATTATACTCACTGTACTTTCCCAAGCTACATAAGAATCAGAATTATGTTAGGCAATTCTACATACAGATAATTATTATTGTCATCTTTTATTTTGATTTTAAATCTGATAATAGGCCAATGTATTATGTCCTAATTATCGACATAATTTCCTACAAGCATACGTACAAAAACGGTATAGTAGTGTTGGCATGTTTTTATAATGTAGATGCTGTATACTTCAAATATAAAAAGATAAAACCAAAACTTTAGAAAAGTACATTTTGTTTATATTATGTTATGAATTCTGCAATTTTTGATTTATATAAAACAACAATGAGTAAATGTTTGTTTCTTTGGAGATTAATTGCAGTTAATTAGTAGAAATTTTTTTAGCAATTACCCTTTGAGAGATTAGGGCATTAGGGAATAGATTTGGCAATCGTCAAATCAGCAGTTGCCAGTTTACAAAAGATGTTTCTAATTAATCTCGAAAGAGACAAATATCTACTTGTTATTGCTTCATATAAATTAAAAATTGCAGAATTCATAAAATAGTGTAATCAAAATGTACTTTTTAAAAGCTTTATCTCTTTATTTTTTAAGCATAAAATATATGCATTATAAAAACATGCCAACACTGCCAAACCGAAAAAATTTTGACATTTGCGGCTATATTCAGCTTGTACGTTCCGTAATCTCATTAAAATATTTAATATTAAATCAACCCTTTTACACCTTATTAAAAGCATTAAAAGTCCTTAAAGTTATATATTAATTATATTATATGTTCTAAAGTGTAATCAAATGGAAGTAAAACAAGAAAATGGCGAGAAAACATGTAAAATAGAAATAGAGGAGTATAATAACTTAGATGATGCACTTTTGGATGGCTTTAAATGTGAAATTCAGGAAGATTCCAACAGGCAAAATACTACTTATGATAATTATTTAGACTTAAAGGAACATCCTATAAATACTGAAATAGAACATGAATATAAGCTTAACCCATTTGAAGAAAACCAAAAAACTGAAAAGGGTTAGTAACAATTTATATATATACATTCGGTTTTATAACGTCTTACGACGTTGTCCGACTCCCAACCGCCACTGTATTCGGTCTTGAGTTAGGTCTTCGTCCAGATTTCGAGCGCTAATCGCTTTCCTAACTCCCAGGTTCCAGCTCTGTGGTGGTCTTCCTCGTTTCCTCTTCTCTGGGGGTTGCCACATCATCGTTTTTTTAGGCAATATTTCGTCCCCCATGTCCATACCATATGAGCTGTTTTCTCTCAATATCCTCAACTATAGTGCCCTCTATACCCATTCGTTGTTTTATCATAGTAACAATTTATTTATGTGATTAATTTAAGGGCATATTAGAGACAATTACAAATTAAGTACCTACTTAGTTACTTAATGATATCAAAGAATATAGACGCTTAGCTAAGCGTCTATATTCTTTGATGATATTTTGTTAACAAAGGCTTAAAGGCAACTTCAGTTACATTGTTGTCAGTTCAACATTCCTTTAAAATAATGCAGGAAATTCAAATCTCAAGTAAAGAATCTAGAGTGAAGTATGCTCTTTTCTATTCTTACTTACTTTGATTCATGTTTAGGAGAAAATTTCAGGTAATGTAATAACGCATAAAGCAAAGCAAGTTTTAAACCATTTTTTGAAATTTCTCGCTTTGTACTTACTTAGAATTTTTAACACAAAACTAATCAATTTGACTATTCAATGAAAGATCACTAATAAAACTTTTCCATTCATTTTCCCTTATACTCAAATATTTATCAGTACAAATATTGTCACTTTGTATTTTAGGTTATCTCCAAGATGAAATCAAAATGGAAATTGTGGGGACACTAATTAAACATTCATCTTACGAAGCAAATTATATGAGTCCACATGCTGAAGGAAAAACATTAAATCAAAATATGAAAGTTGTGACTGAAGAAAAACCTTACACATGTGTAATTTGTTTTAAACGGTTTGGCCAAGCAGGTTCGTTGAAAATACATTTGAGAGTGCACACTGAAAAAAAAAACTTATGAGTGTGAAATTTGCTTTAAACAGTTTTCTGTAAATTATAGGCTAAAGAATCATTTAAGGGTCCACACTGGAGAAAATCCCAACAAGTGTAAAATTTGTTTTAAACAATTTAACCAAGCTAATTCTTTAAAAACACATTTGAGTGTGCACACTGGAGAAAAACCTTACAAGTGTGAAATCTGTTTTAAACAGTTTAGGCAAGCAGGTTCATTGAAAACACATTTGAGAGTGCACACTGGGGAAAAACCTTACGAGTGTGAAATTTGTTTTAAGCAGTTTTCTCGAATTTATGGGTTGAAGGATCATTTAAAGTACCACACTGAAGAAAATCCTTACAAGTGTGAAATTTGTTTTAGGCAGTTAAGAGGAGCATGGTGTTTAAAAAATCATTTGAGACTGCACACAGGGGAAACACCTTACAAGTGTGAAATTTGTTTTAAACAGTTTAGCCAAGGAGGTTCGTTGAAAACACATTTGAGTGTACACGCTGTGGAAAAACCTTACAAGTGTGAAATTTGTTTTAAACTGTTTAGTCAAGCAGGTTCATTAAAAACACATTTGAGACTGCACACTGGTGAAAAACCTTACAAGTGTGAAATTTGTTTTAAACAGTTTAGACGATCAGGTATTTTGAAAGATCATTTGAGAATGCATACTGGGGAAACACTGTACAAGTGTAAATTTTGTTTTAAACAGTATAGCCACGTAGGTTCTTTGAAACGACATATGAGAAGATTGCACACTGGTGAAAAACTGTACAATTGTGAAACAAGTTTCTCAAGCTAGTGCTCTGAAACAACATATAAGATCACAGACTGGACAAAAAACCATAGATGTATGAAAGGTGTTTAATGAAGGTAATATTTGGTGTATACCGTCAGTGTAACAAAGCTGATAACTTGTGCAACCAAATCAAATAAAGTTAAATAATATTGATCTTGTGATTATTATTTTGAAAAATTTAAATAACTTTTTGTATTATAAACTTTTACGCACCATGAAATCTGCCACCCGGAACACAGGCCAATTGCCTCGTCCTGGGTAACTAGTTAGCATAAGTATTTAACAAAGGAAAATAATATAATTTGCAATTTTTCTGGGAAAGTAACAATTAAAAGAAAAAGTATGTATAATTCAAACAAATGCCAATTTAAACAAAATAAAAAATTATGTTGTTAATAAATTTTCTTTATTCACTCCGTGCGTGACTGACGCAACACCTACCGTCTTCATCTGACAGTTTTGGACTTCCCAATTTTCAGGTTAAACATATGACATATGTTTGACATTGTTAAATACATGCGAAATTGACAATTATTAATAATTAGTTTTTTCACTATATTTTTTCAGTTTATGTACAAAATAAATGTAGTATTAAAAACTGGATTTCTCAAATTCATCATAATATATCTTTTCAACCCCAAACGGAAAAGAAAGGGAAAAATCTAGTATTGGCAAATCAAGTTTTTCATGCAAAGGAGCATATAATTAAAAACAATAATAGTAAAAGTTGTTATATAAAATCTAAAGTCATCTGCAGTTATTCATTATAAAATATCATTCAAGCTAAATTATTTAAATTTTTCCTAGTTCAATTGCATAAAAATGAAATTATGTGATATTTACTTTTTCATATTAATAGCACGAATCCATCTTTTTCTTTTCTCTAATTTATATGTAATCATTGGGAACCTATAAAAACTACACACACTATTTTTGCTATTATTAGCACAATTAAATACGCAACATTTATTTGCACACATTTTTGATAAAATTTGTGTAAAAAAATAGGTCCAATTTTGTCATATTTCGCCGCTACGCACGCTGGCATCGTTTCAATGTACCCCTACCATGGTCACGCACGGAGCGAATATCCATTACAAAAATTTGAATTTCTAAGGAATCCCCATTCGTTTTCAATTTCTTACCAATCGTTATCTTATTAAGTTTGGAAGATGCGTTAT